GGGGCCCCCGTGGGCCCTCCCTGAACCCCCACCCTCTGGTCCTTGCTATAGGTGAGAATCCTCGCTCAATGGATGAGATTGCACCCAGGTGGCCTTCCAGCATCCTGCAAAGAGTTGGATTAAAAGTCACAAGTCATGCTGGGCGGTGGTGGCACACGACTTTAATCCCAGCACTCGGGAGGCAGAGGCAGGAGGATCTCTTGTGAGTTCGAGGCCAACATGGGCTACAGAGCAAGTTCTAGGACAGGCTCCAAAGCTACACAGAGAAACCCTATCTCTAAAAGTGGGATGCAGGGGAACACAGCCATTACACTCCCTTGGAAATGTTCACATGTCACAGATTCAGTAATATGGTAAGGGAGAAAGGAATTTTTAAAACAGTGCTGGCATTTTTGGGGTATGTGGGAGCTTGTCAGTTAAAAACAGTGTTGTGGAGGCTGAAGCTATAGGATGAGACTTGGGGGCTGGAACAAAATTAATCTGATATATGTAGGGAAAGAAAAGACAATTTCCTTCATTCTTAGAAAGTTAATAAGAAATGCCAAGGCACTTGAAGCAAAAAGCAGTTTGAAAAATAGGATAGTTTCATGATGGCTTTCTTCCTCCCCCTCCTTCTCTTCCTCCAGATAGTGTCTCCTTATGTCTCCTCTGGTTGAATTTGACCTCACTATGCAGGCCAGGTTGGCCTCGAACCTGCAATGATCCTCCTGCCTCTGCCCCCAAAATTCTGGGATTATAGACCTGTGCCAGTATTACCAGCCTTTGCACACTTTTTTTTTTTTTTAAACACTAAAAGTCATAATTTGAAAAACAGCTCAACTTCTTCATTGGCAACAAGCAAGCTATTCCACAAGGGTGCCAGTAGATGGTACAATAAAGCAAGAAACTGATATTTACATCTCATCCAGGAACAATCTGGTCCTGAATGGACAGCAGTGGAAGGAAGTGATGGCAGCATCCATGTGGATTGTGGAACAGCTTGGTACATGAAGCACCAAATGGCCAGCTATAAATACCTGGGAAGTGTTACCACAAGCTGCCAGCAATGCCTTGGCTCTCCCAATGACGCATTCGTCTGATGTCACAAAGATCACCTCAAGTTTTAAAAATACCCAGAGAAGAACTAGGGAAGCATTGTAATTTTAACTTTTTTCTATATTGACAGCTAGAAGTGTCAGTTTTTAGGTACAACTATACCTTCACAGGCATGGTAGCACACACCTGTAACCTCAGCACTTGGGAAGCTGAGGCAGGAGGATTGGCAGTCCCAGGCAAACAGGGGACAAGATTCTAGTCACACAAAACAGGAAACAAGTCTGGTATGCTGGTGCATGCCTTTAATCCACACACTGGGGTGAGGGGGCAGGGGCAAGCAGATCTCTGTGAATTCAAGGCCAGGCTCATGTGCATAGTAAGGGTTCAAGGTCTAAAACAGCAATAACAAAATGGATTTTTGTTGTGGAAGCTAACAAGCAGAGATGGAAAAAAGACCTTAGTCACCATAGGTATAGGGGCGAGACTCAGATGGAGAATGAGTTGCCCATTAGAAGAGACCCTGTGGACTTAAAAAACAAACTATGATATTTTCACAAATGCATTTGAATTTTATCACACTTACATTTGTGAATGCTATGTATGAGGCTTTTAAAAATGTTTCCTTAAACGTGGCTACATTCTTATTATTCCTCTTTCTTTTCTGTGCTAATCATTCTTTTGTCCTCACTGGAGACTTACTATTTCAAATGAATGAAAAACACCCTGACGAGCCAAGTGGATGCAAGGAGAGAGAACAGAAAAGTCCCCTGTTGCTGGCCTCTAAACCCTCAAACCCAGTGACACACTTCCTCCAACAAGACTCCACTCCCTTCAGGTTCCTTAACCTTCCTAAACAGCGCCACTCACTGAGTCTTTGGGCAACATTTCTGTGCAAATCACAGTGCCCATCCATGAGTGCCTTTCAAATTTGGCTTTCATTAATCCCATTTAAGGGCAACTGTGCCCATCAGCCCCCAAGGAAAAAAGAATTACGGAAAGCTAATGTCAGGAAAATAGGCTGAGTGGCAACCACAGAAATACCCAGTTGTGTGGGCATTGCGCAAGTTAGTGTAAGTGATGGTACAC